GGGGACTAGAATAACGAGCAGAGAGAATTGTTCCATAGAAGAGAGCTAGAATCGGGGGTCAGGGACGACGTCCCAGGAGCCATACTCTTTGAGTAGGAGTTTTGAGGCCCGGGAGGCGCTCCATGGCCTCTCAGAGACTTCCAGGACACGGGACTGCAGCGCGGAGGGGAGCTGAGCACGGCTGCCTGGCGGCCCCTCTCCGGGCCTCACTCTCCTGGCCTGGGCCTGGGCTGGGCGGGGCCTCGGCCAGGTGCGCCGCGGCGCTTCGCGGAGCCAGGAAGTGTGTCCCCAGCGGCGACCCGTGCCGCGCTCCCGCGAGACGCTCACCTGCGAGCCAGGTGAGTGCAGAGGGGGGCGGGGGAAGGGCTGACGGGAGGCGGCTCACCTGGCGGGGCAGGTAAGTCCGGAGCGGACCCGCGGGGGCGCGGAGCGGTGCAGCCCCGAGTGGGTGATCCCGGAGGCCGTGCCTGGACGGCAGCGGGGCGCGGGCCTGGCTCCGTCGGGATCCGACGCCCACTTCCGGGGTGCGCGGCCCGGGCCGGGCCGGAGCGGCCCGAATGGGAGCCGGGCTGGGCGGGCCGGGAGGCCTGGGGGCTGGGGCCGGGCACCTCGGAGCCGCGGCCGGAACCGTAAGTGGAACGGCGTCGGGACTCGCAGGCAATGGCGCTGGCGGCCCGAGAGGCGGTGCGCGCCCCGACGGCAGTGCGCGCCCTGCCGCCCGGGCTCGGCGCCTGCAGAGGAGGGCGGCTGAGGCTGTGCCGGGGCTGGGGCGGGGGTGCGCCGTGCCCAGCGCCCGAGCTGAGCCCACCACGGCGGGGTGACCCGACGCTCGCTCGGGCAGAGGCTGGTGCAGCCGGCTTGTCCCGTGGACGCCGGGAGGAGGGCGGGTGGAGAGCCCCGAGTTGCGTGGCTGTTTGCGGGGACTTGGGGAAAGGCAATGGGAAGTCAGAGTCCCCTGGGGTCACTAGACCCTGGAGCATCCTTGCGGTGCTTTCGAATGCCCAGTGACTGAGCCAGTCTTCCCAGGCTCTCGCTAAACACCCAGCACCCCGTCCCTCAGCGGAGCGCTGTAAGGACACCACTCTCTCCGGTTCTGGGAGATGAGGTTTTCAATTTTTATTTCACTTTGGTTAATTTTTTATGTATTCATTTTTAATTATGTTTAATTAATAAGTTACGTTATTTAGGTTTTTGGTTTTTGAAACAGGGTCTCATGTGGCCCAGGCTCCTAATCATAAGGTAAACCTATGTAAAGATGAGGAAACTAGAACCAAGAGTCTTGTTCCAAGCCAAAGCCGAGGGGAGAATTGGTCACTTAAGTGACCAGTGTTACTGGATTGGCAGGAGGGGAGGAGCAGGGCCGTGGTAGGGAAAGGGATATGTAGCCTGGAATGAATTGGCTGTTTGAAGGGACACTGAGGCCAGACACTGTCCATACCACAAATAGGGAGGCTGCCGGGTTGGTTGGTTTAGAGACAGGGTCTCTCTTGGTAGCCCAGGCTGATCTTGTTGAACTCAAGGGGATCTGCCTGCCTCAGCCTCTCTAGCACTGGGATGACCTGAGTGACCACCATCCCCGGCTTATGCTAGGCTCTGCTCCCTCCCTTTCTCTCCATTCTTCCCAGACTGGAGGTGTGGCTCAGAGCGAGGTACCTGGGCTGAAGAGCCTAGCGCCACCCCCCCCCCCCCACACACACACAACAAATCCTGCCCTTCCCAGCTCGCTGTCTTGCTCTGTCCCCTCCCCTTTCTGAGCTTCAGATTCCTGGGCTGTGGAGTGAAGGTAAACTGTTCACATGGTGGTTGTAAGAACTACAACTTGGTTGTAAGAACTAATCGCTTTCACTGGAATGTAAGCTCCTGAGGCTAAGGAGTTCGTCTGTCTTACCGCTGTGTCCATAGAGTTTAGGATGCACATTAGATCCTCAGTATTTGTGAAATAACTCAATGAGTCCATGCCCAGCCTCACATTGATCAAATCAGGACATTTAGTTCTCTCCCTCTGGCTTGTGAAGAACATTTTGTTTTGTTGAGATGGGGTCTTGCTGTCTAGTACATGTTGGCCTCAAAGTCGTGGTCCTCCTGCCTCAGCCTTTATGGTACAAGGCTAACAGGTGTGTGCCTCACATTCAGGTGTGAAAAACTTTTTAAAAAGTCACTTATTACAATTTCAGGTTGTATTCCCGCCCACCCCCCACCCACCCCCCTTTTTTTAACAGCAGCAGGGTAGGAGATGTTCCAAGCAGGAAATGCCTCCCTCAGTTTATAGACTCCCAAAGATGGGGTCTCACAGGCACACACCATTGCCTAAGAGTGCTGCTGCCTCCTGCTCTGGGCTGCCTGGAGCCTAAGTCCTTTGTCTTTCCACCCAGTGCTCTTGAAAGTCACATAGGATGTGTCTGTGCCACGATAACACCTGGGGAATTAGGCTTATCCTAAACAGTGGGTGCAAGGCTGACCCCCGTGAAGAGACCTCAGCAGAAGGGGGATGGAAAGAGGGGCTCCCGTTTGGCTAGGGGTCCTCAAGATCCTTGGAGAAGGAGAGCTGAGTAGGCCCCAGAGAAGACTGTGAAGTTTCAGGAAGAAAGAACTCCTGTGTCCTCATCCAGCACAAGGAATATTCCTGGCCTCCTTGTGTGTCTACACAAACTCTCCAGGATGTGCTGGTTGGCTGGTTTAAACCGTTGATCACACTGCAGATCTGTGTTCCTTTACCCCTAAGAGCTCTGGTCTGCTTGCTAAGCAAAGATACTAGGCTGTTCTGTTTCTCATAGAAACGTGTAGATCTGGGCTGTATAGATGGTTCAGCTGGCATACCTTTAATTCCAGCACTCAGGAGGTAGAGTCAGGCAGATCTCTTTAAGTTCAAAGCCAGCCTGGTCAACTTAGCAAGGACAGCTAGGGCTACATAGTGAGACCTGTCTCAAAATAAAGAATTAAAAAATATATAGTTAGTTAATTTATTAGTTAGTTAACGAGGCATAAATCCCAGCACTCAGGAGGTAGAGGCAAGTGGATCTGTAAGGCCAGCCTGGTCTACAGAGTGAGTTTGTTCCAGGATAGCCAGGCTACACAGAGAAACTCTGTCTTAAAAAAACAAAATAGCGCTTGGGGATTTAGCTCAGTGGTAGAGTGCTTGCCTAGCAAGCGCAAGGCCCTGGGTTCGGTCCTCAGCTCCAGAAAAATAATAATAATAAAAATAAATAAATATATATATAATTAGATATATTACATATAAATATATGATGTTTTCTACTTTCACTAGTTATTCACATTACCCAGGTTTCTATTTTTCCTTCTGACCCCTGGCCCACACTGGATTTAGTTGACGTGTCTCTGACAGCTGGGCTGTCAACCCCTTCCTCAAGGTCACATCCCAGTTATGCGTTTGAGGCAGGAATACTTAACAATGTGTCCTTATCTTTGATGTCATTTCATTTCACTATTGGTGACATTGCTTTTGATCTTTTGGTTAAAGCGCTCCTGGGAGGTCTCTGCAGCCTTGTGGGGGTGGAAACTGTCCCTGGCTGCAGCGTGTAGAAGAGACCAGGACAGGAGTGTTGGGGGCAGTGGTTTGGGGAGGGGGCACTGTTTTGCCCAAGGCATGCAATATTTGTCTGGTTTTGGTTTTTTGAGACCAAAAAACAATAATACTTGTTTCTCTGTGTGTCGTGGAACTTGCTTTATAGACCAGGCTGGCCTCAAACTCAGAGGTCTACCTGCCTTTGCCTCCAAGTGCTGGGACTAAAGTCGTGCGCCTCCATGCTCAGTCCTAAGCGCACAATTTATAAGGACCAGAATGGGGACTAGAAGACAGAGATCCTGATGTCTACAGCTTTGTTCCTTTCATATTGCTAACTCTTAGGAGTCCGTGGTGATTCAGTCGAATACAAGGATTAAGTGTCAGCATCTCAAAGAAGGCTAGGAGGCTGGAGAGATGGCTCAGTGATTAAGAGCACAGGTTGCTCTTCCGGAAGACCTGATTTCCATTCCTACCTAGCACCCACATGGTGGCTCAAAATACAGGCTAAGGACAGTCACTGCCCAGCAAAGCTTTAACTGTGGTTAAGGCCTCCTGAGTATGGCACTACATCATCCCTCAGGGTGCCTTGCTGATTTACTCAATTCCACATGCTTCATCCTAGGAGGTTTTTGTTTTTGTTTGTTTGTTTGTTGTTTTGAGACCGAGTCTCACTATATAGCCTTGGCTGGACTAGAACCCTCTACATAGACCAGGTTGTCTTCAAACTCACAGAGTCCACTGGACTCTACCCCATGCTGGCATTAAAATTGTGACCATTATTGGGTGGTGGCACACGCCTTTAATCCCACCAGGCAGAGGCAGGCAGATCTCTGTGAGTTCGAGGACAGCCAGGACTACACAGAGAAATCCTGTCTTGGAAAAAAAAAAAAAAACTGAGCACCATGCCTGGCTAGCTTTTTTTTTTTTTGGACAGGATCTCATGTACTGGGCTGACTAACCTGGAACTCACTTTGTAGTACAGGATGACCCAGAACTACTAGTCCTGCCTCCGTCTCCCAAGTGCTAGGTTTTCAGACAGGTCTTATTGCACTCTACTTGTCTTAGAAGCTTTTCTAGAAACTGCACCATCAAGTACAGCATGCATGGTTCATTTATGTTTGGTTTTGCCTTGCCTGACACATGGCCAGACTCACTGTTCATCAGTAAAACAGTTGTAGTTCTGAGATACCTAGCAAATAAACTCAAAGAGGAATGAAGATCAGTATTTCAGTATTTTTTTTTTTTTTTTTTCAAGACAGAGTTTCTCTGTGTAGCCCTAGCTGTCCTGGAACTCACTTTGTAGACCAGGTTGGCCTCGAACTCCGAGATTCACCTGCATCTGCCTCCCAGGTGCTGGGATTAAAGGCATGCGCCACCACTGCCCAGCCAGTATTACTATTTTAAGACAACAATGTTTTCTTTTTTATTGACTTTACTTTATGTCTGTGTCTGCACTTGAAGGTGTCCATGTGTGGAAGTCAGAGGACAGCTTTTAAGAGTCCGTTCTCACCTTCTGCCTTATAGAAGCAGGAGTTCTCAGTTCTGCTGTGCTGTGCTGTGTACTCCAGGCTGGCTGGCCTGTGAACTTCAGACAGCTCTGTCTGGCTCTCTCCCCCATCTCCCCGTAAGAGTGCTGGGATTCCAGATGTTCATCACGTGTCCAGCTTTCCACATGGGTTCTTTTGTTGTCAGTACTCTCACCCAGTGAGCCACCTCCCCAGCCCATGAGGATTATGATTGTGGCAAGGAACCCAAACTGCCTGGTGTTCCCGGCAAGGTAGTACACTCCTCTAATCCCAGGACTTGAGAAGGGAGGTGGGAGGGCCAGGGATTTAAGAGCCGCTTTGGCTGCCGAGTAAATTTGAGGCCAGACTGGCTACATGAGACCCTCTTGTTTTAACAAAACCAATCCTTCCCTCACCAAAAAGAAAAAGAGAAACATACTTGATGGTAAACGTTTCTAGGGGGGCAGATGTGAATACGATGAGAGGCCCGTTCATGCCCGTGTCTGGGATGAAGGGCACAAAGGAAGGATAACGGTGATGACTGTGGCCAGGCAGACAGAAAATGTCTGTTGATGATGGCAGGAAAGTGGTCCCTGGAGAGCCTTCCTTCTTTGTGTAAAATCTACATCAAAATTACCATTTTAATCTTCTACATGCCATTTTTTAACATACCATCCTGTGGCATTAAATACATCTGTACTCTCCAGAGCTATGACGCCTTCCCCGCTGAAATTCTGTACCCATTCAACATAGCTCTCCCATGCTCCACTGCTTCATCCCTTGGCATCCACCACACCATTTTTCCACGTCTGTTAAATCGGTAGTTGTAGATATTTCATATTAGCTGGACAATAGAGTATTTGTTCTTTCTTGTGTAGCTTATTTCATTTAGAATGTCTTCAAAATTCATCCATGTCAAAGCACAAAAGAATTTCATTCTTTTTAAGCTCTAGATGCTAGCCCAAAAATGCTTCATTTTTATGAGTCCATTCATCCATTGATATACTTTTTAATCTTTGTTTGTTTGTTTTTTGTTTTGGTTTTTCGAGACAGGTTTCTCTGTGTAGCTTTGCGCCTTTCCTGGAACTCGCTCCGTAGACCAGGCTGGCCTCGAACTCACAGAGAACTTTTTAATTTTTTAACCTTTGTTTTTATTTGATGTGCATGTTTTCCCTGCATATATGTCTGCACACCATGTGCATGCAGCACTTGTGGCAGCCAGAAGAGGATGTCAGGTCCCCTTGGACTGCACTTATATAAGGATGTTAGTGGCCATGTGGATGCTGGGAATCAAATCCGGGTCCTCTGGAAGGGCAGCCAGTGCTTTCAGTGGCTGGGCCATTTCTCCAGCCTCCCACTGATGAACTTTTGGGTTGTTCTCACTTTACGGTTATTGTAAATAATGCTCCTGTGAACATTGACATACAAATGCCTGTTTAAAGTTGCTATTTTCAGTTCTCTTAAGTGTATACCAAGGAGTGAATTTGCCAGGTCATATAGTAATTTTGGGATGTTTTGGGGGGACTTTGTTAAAATATTTTTTTTTTTTTTTAAGATTTATTTGTTATTTTTGTTTTGAGACTGGGCCTCACTTTGTAGCCCTGGCTGTCCTGGAACTCACTATGGAGACCAAGCTGGCCTCAAACTCACAGATATCCTCCTGCCTCTGTACACCACTATTCCCAGCAGAGATTTTATTTATTCTTATGTATATGAGTGTTTGTCTGGATATACATCTACGCACCTCATATGTGTAGTGCCTACAGAGGTCAGAAGAGGGCATGGGATCCCCAGGACTGGAGTTAAAGAAGGTTGTGAGTCACCATGTGGGTGCTGGGAATTGAACCCCAAGGCTCTGGAAGAGCAGCCAGTGCTCTTAACCGTGAGCCATCTCTCCAGCCCCCATATACACACGACTTTTAAAAATAAGGACTGGAAAGATGGCTAGGTGGTTAAGATCACAGGTTGTTTTTACCGAGGACCCAGATTCGATTCCCAGCACCTACAACATGGCTCACAACCCTCCATAACTCCAGTTCCAAAAGCTCCTATAACCCTCTTCAGATCTTGGGCACCAGACACATGTGGTGCACACACATATATACTGGCAAAATGTTCACACACATAAAACACATTTTAGAGTTTTTAATAATTATTTGTATATGTGTGTGGGGTGGAGAGAGAGGTCCCCACTGTGAGTGCCGTGAGGGCAGAAGATGAGGTGTCAGCCCTAGAGCTAAGTTCCAGGTGGTTAGGAACTATCAAGCAGTAGCATTCTTAACTGCTGAGCCATCCGCCCAGCCCGTTTGTGTTTTTTGTTTGCCGTACTGGGGATGAACTTAGGGCCTCCTTCATGTTATGTAGGCCACCCATGCTACATTCCCTTCCTGTGTGTTTAAGTTGTGAAGAACTGGTCTCTTTCCCACAATGCATATATCATTTCATATCCCCACTAGCCAAGTGCCAATGACCCCATTTCTCTGCACCCCACTGACACTTGTCTGTGTTTTGTTTTCAACAATAGCCATTCATTGAGAAGTTCAGGAGATTTTTAAAGCCTAAGGTAGACCACAAAGAGAACTTTTTCTTTGGGGCAAGAAGAGCTCAACGTTTGCAAGGGTTTTCGGGATGCTCGTCCGCCCTCATCACAGGCTTCCCAGAAGTCTAAAGCTCTTCAGGTCAGCCCAGGAACCTGTCCCTGACCTCTGCTTCTGACCTCCTCCTGGCTTCTCCCCTGCAGGTGCCTGGCTGCAGCAAGCCATGCTCTGAGCCATGCCCAGACCGGGACAGCCTCGCCCATCGTCTGGGCCTCCTCGCTTGGGTCCCTGGGAGAGGCCAACAGAGCTATGCCTGGAAACCAATGATGAGCGCTCCCAGCCCCCACCAGGCCGCCGCACCCGCAGGGCGGACCCCAAGGACCCTGGCCACCATGGGCCAGAGAGTATCACCTTCATTTCAGGCTCTGCAGAACCGGCCACTGAGCCCCCAACCTGCTGCCTCCTCTGGCGCCCCTGGGGGTGGGACTGGTGCAGGGCTGCCTTCTGCTTCCGCCGCTGCAGAGATTGCCTGCAGCGCTGTGGGGCTTGTGTGCGGGGCTGCAGCCCCTGCTTATCTGCTGCGGATCCCACTGAGGGGTCTGCTGAAGTCACTTGGGTCAAGGAGAATGGCGTGCCACCCAGCCCGGACTGTGCACCTCCCAGCCGCCGGGATGGCCAGCGGCTCAAGTCCAGCATGGGCAGCAGCTTCAGCTACCCTGACGTTAAGCTCAAGGGCATTCCGGTCTACCCCTACCGCCATGCCACCTCCCCGGTCCCTGATGCGGACTCCTGCTGCAAGGAGCCCCTGCCTGAGCCTCTTCCCACACGGCACAGCCTGCCAAGCACCCTCCCCAGCAGCCCCCGCGGCTCCGAGGAGTATTACTCCTTCCACGAGTCGGACCTGGACCTGCCCGAGATGGGCAGTGGCTCCATGTCGAGCCGGGAGATCGACGTGCTTATTTTCAAGAAGCTGACAGAGCTGTTCAGTGTACACCAGATTGACGAGCTGGCCAAGTGCACGTCGGACACTGTGTTCCTGGAGAAGACCAGCAAGATCTCAGACCTGATCAGCAGCATCACGCAGGATTACCACCTGGACGAGCAAGACGCCGAGGGCCGCCTGGTGCGCGGCATCATTCGTATCAGTACCCGCAAAAGCCGCTCCCGCCCACAGACCTCGGAGGGGCGCTCAGCCCGCTCGACTGCCCCTGCCGCTGCCCCCGACAGTGGCCATGAGACCATGGTAGGCTCTGGCCTCAGCCAGGATGGTAAGTGGGCCCAAGTAGGAAAGCTCTGGCTATAGGAGGGCTGGGGTGGGTTCTTTGTGGGTTTACCCTTGGCCAGCCGACACATCTCTAAACTCTTGGGCACAGGGAAGCTGAAAACTATGGGGAACATGCAGACTCCGAGAGCTTTGGCCATTGCAGTGTCCCCAGCATCCATCTACCCATCCATCGCGTCCATTGTGTTGGCCACTGCACTGTCCCCAGCACCCACCCACCCACCCACCCTCCGCGTCTGTTGTGGTGGCCACTGCAGTGTACCCAGCATCCATCCACCCACCCACCCACCCACCGCGTCTGTTGTGGTGGCCACTGCAGTGTCCCCAGCATGTGTTTGTTTGTTGCGTCTGTCAGGCTCCTCCTTCCCCTATTACTTCTTGGCAAAGCAGCTCCCGAGCCTGGCCTAAATAAGGGCCTAAAGCTCAAGAATTTGGACCTGTGCATTAAGCAAGAAAGGCTAATGATGGGAGTTCACGCTTGTATTCCCAGAACTCTAGAGGCTCAAGAAAAAGGTCTGCCAAACATTCTAGGCCAGCCTGGGCTATAGTGACCTTGTTTCGAAAAACAAACAAAAACCCAAGAATTTGAGCCACTGACCTGGCCTAGCCGAAGTCCCACCTGCCCAACACACACACACACACACACACACACACACACACACACACACACACACACACACACAC